AAAAAAAAAAAAAAAAAAAAAAAAAAAAAAAAAGACACCAAATTAACTCTTTACCTTGTAAGTGAATACTGGATCTGGGTCCTATGATTTGCAGACAGAAACCAAAGAGGATTCAAAAATACTTGGTTTATCTAGTTGATCTAATTATTGTGAGTGGGAGGGGAGAGCAGAAAGAGCTTGCCTCGTTCTTCAGGAAGAAAGGTTTCTGACTTCTTGACTGAATGAAAGGAGAGCCTAATTGCTGGAAGTGGTCCTACTTCATTTTTTTCATTCCTGTCAATTTCTTAAAACAACAATATGTACATTATGTTTCAAAGTACATCAGTTAAGTATAGATGAGAAAATCCCAAATCATTAAGTAATCAGACTAGACAATTAATTTTAGAAGTTGCTTTAAAGGCTATCATGGCCCTTTGACAGAGCTGCTGATTTGTAAATGAATTAATAGTTCTGTCTGAAATCATATGCACTGATTACATTAATAACAATGTTTACCCCCATTCCATTAGGTTATTTGCAAGCACAAAAATGTGTTTTTTTCATATTTACATGCACTCAACACCTTTGAATTTGAATCTGTTGTCAGATTATAACATTCAATCAGTGGAATGCAGAAGTGTAAATAAGAAGAGTGATTTTTGTTAAGTTCACGTTCAACAGGTAAATAGAAAAACAAGGTGCAAAGCCAATGAATGAAGAGGAATGTCTTCAATGCATTTTGTTAGAGCTGTGTGGAAAATATAAAAATATTAAAGCAAGGTTTTCATGTCCATTTCCATCCATTGTTCTCCCAAGGATTTAATACTTGTGTTGCTTTGCAATGCTTATTTTTTCTGCTCATCTGCCTTGTCATTGTGAACAGAACAAACTATCATTTCACACACCCCTCTTAGGGTATTTCAAACTTGGGGAGTGAAAGAACTTTAACACCTCTGAATGAGTCTTACAAACTATTTCTAAGACAAGAATGGTGTGGGAGGGTGAGTAGACATGGGCAAAGAGATTGTATCAAGGCTTGAGCTGTGGATCCAAATGCACCTGATACTGTGGGGTCTTGGACACAGGCCTGTAGTTTAACTCTTTGGAGATGCTGGCTGACCGCAGTGTTGGGAGCCCCAGTGATGATGAGACTGGGACATGGTGAAGTGCACTGCAGCTTCACAACATACACCACCACATGCCCAGAGCTCTGCTCAGCAGAAGCTGCATTACTCACTTGCTTTCAGCGGTTTGCATTGCACCCAGTACACTGATGTTTGCTCCTGAAAAAGCTGGCCAGTTCTTTGTGTCCATGAAACACCGCCCATTTTAGGTAGTTCTTGAAGAACCAAGTTAAAAATACTAGAACTACGTCAATTGCTGTGACTTGGGCCCATTTATGAACTTCCTGTGGAAGCCTGTAGTTTCAAAGGGAGAGCCTATCCAAACTGGTTCAGGAAGTCTCAGGGTCAAGGCGTGAACATAATTCTTCAGTCTGCTGCTTGTTGTGCATGCAGTTTTTGTGGTTGGGGGTGAAATGAAGGCTAGGATCCTGTACAACCCCTTTATCAAGATAACCGGGGTGGAGGGGAAGAGCACCAGGCAGACATAATTGCTGCTGCGATAACTCTTATTTACTGTATTTGTCAGCATGTTTTGGACAAAGACATGCCAGAAAAGTTTTGATGAAATGTAAATGGATAATACACATCCAGTGGCATAATATACTTGACGAAACAGTGTGTGGTCTAATTGTAAAGCAACACAAATCATCTAAGCACATGCACCTGTTTAGACATGTGTACATGATGTATGAACATGGATGTTTTGCTTCCGGGTAAAGCAGTTCTTCCTAAAATACCTCACCATGGGTTTAAGATTTCTGTTAGGAATACCTGTCAAACATAGCTCTACCACAACCATACAGGGATAAAAATTACTTTGAACTCCAGCCTGCTCATATCCCGAGGCTTATTTTGACCATTTGGGAGTACCAGTGTTTTGGATGAAACCCTTGCAATACATGGGACTTGAGCCCGTGAACTTCTTTTTGGAGCATTCACCTGCAGAGTGCTTGTATATAGCATCTGCTGATACTTTACAGAAGTGCTATATTTTTGATGAATGGCCAAGTACAAGTATTTTATTACACTTCAGAGGACAGAATGTGAGAGTGTTATAAAAGATTATAATAATCCAGGAACCCTCACTACTGTGTGTGACTGGGGAAAAGCAGGGTTGGAGGGGGGCTATCAGATGAGAAGATTCACTGTTTAATTTTCTTGCTTGAAAGGAAAGACCATGTGTAGTAGATTTAAACCAGTATTTTCTAATTAGAAGCAATCAAGTTTATAGAAAATGTCCAATAATGAAGGTGTTCTAGAAATAAATCTTAACTTAGAATTACTATTGCCAGAATAGAACTGGGAATACTGCCCCTGAAGAGCAGTAATTTTATATCCTCAAAATCTAGTTATCTGGTATTAATAATTAAACTCTAATTCAGGTGTATAATAATATAGATCATCACTAGTCTTCTGTACAGTATAGTAATAATGCATCTTATGTGACATTGGACAAAATTTTCATGATCTTTCCCCAGTCCACATAGCCTGAATCAGACTCAATTTTCCTTTTCCTGTGTAACCTGTTCTAAGTGACCCTGCCTTGGCTGGGGGAGGGTTGGACTAGGTGACCTCCAGAGGTCCCTTCCAATCCTAAAAATTCTGTGATTCAGTGGTTTTTGAAAAAACACTTTCTGACTCCTTTTCACTGAAGATTTGCACTAGAGTGCAAAGCAAAACAAACCCATTGTTCAGCCTGAAAGAAAAGACAGTTGTGCCCCACCTCTGGGACAGTACACTCTAATTTACAGCATTGCTTTGACCCTCAACAGCTCAGAGCAAATTTACCACAGTTACTGACTAGACTTTTCATCAGATGAAAGCCAGTTAGAATTAAAGTATTTCGCGTGTGTCTTAGAGAATATCTTCACTAATGCAGCTTGACCTTCAAAGCATCAGCTGTGTAAATGGCACTGTGATAAACATCAGAGTGATGGGAAAGAGGTACCTTAAACGCTCATTTCATAGTCTAGGAGAGATGAAGAGAGTCTTTCATCACCGTTTATATGAGGTCAGGAAGGTGGCATCAGTTGGGCATCTGCAGAATTTCATTCCCTCTTTTTGCTTTCTACTTACAGTCCATTATTTAGATTTAGCAGCTTTGCTAAGTCTCAATCCTTCTTTCTGCTAAGATGCTCAAAATCCAGAGAGGAAAGAAGATAGATAGAAGAGAGGAGTAAAAGGAGTATTCTTGCAGGTCCACAGCTAATCCCACTGTTAAGTATTCATAAAAAATAAGGCAAAAGGCCACATTGCTTTTACCTCTACATTCCTATATCCTTCTACATAAAATGGTCACTGATACATGCTCGAAGAGCCTCAGTCTGATCATTGTACTTAACCAGCAGCAGGATTTGCAAAGACTGACTCTTGAGTTCTTTGGGGCCATTGTGAGGATTCCAGTGCTCTATGCAATTACACCAAGGCTTATGTAGTATCTAATAGGTCTCTAGAGTTGCAGTCTCATGCCTGTAAATTACTCCCAAGACTCCCAACTTTCCACAGCTTTTCAAGATATATGTAATCTATCTGACACTTCTCAGCCTTAGTATAATTAAGAAAGTTGATCATATTATAGTTAGACAGAAAGAGAACCACTGCCAATGGTTGGTGGGTCATAGGGGACGCAAACCCCCCTCCTGTAAAAGGAGAAAAATCCAGTGGATGAGAAGTTAGTTCCCCCTACAGTGAAGCAAGCTGTCCCCCTTGCATCACCACTGGATTTATCAACCTCTGTTCAAATGATGCCATTTAAAGTGGTTATATCTTCTCTGCTTCCTGCAGGTCATCAGTCACTGATGAGCAGCCTGGAACAGTCTGTATGACTGCCTATTCCCTGCCATTCTGTAGGACACACAAAAACTAGCCTAACAAAAGCTGAGCATAATAGACATCTTAAAACTTAATTTCTCTGTCTATAAATGGTCTGAATAGCATGCTACTAAGACACGCATATGTCATTAAGGTGAAATTTAAACCATTAGAGTGACTTTCCTCCAAATAGCACATTTTTAACCAGTGAAATCAAGATGTCATATTTCTGGCTCTTTCTGCTCCTTCAAATGAGAAGTATGAATGCTATATAAGATTAAATCTTCCCAGAGGGAAGGAGGATCAGGGAATGAGCTTAGACACAAGGGAAAGAGGTATTCTCACTTGTGATCTGGTGAACATGATGGAAAATATCATCTCATCAGCTTTCACCTATTATTGCATTTTGTAGCATAAACCTGAAAGAAAGTTTTGTAAATTCTTGGAGAGTAAGGGATCCCAGTACTATATCCTTACTTAGAGCTGTTCATAACCTACTGAAATTCTTGACAGTAGCCACAGCCAGCTCTGACATGAGATGTCTTTATTTCTGTTTACTTGAGTATTGTCTGAATTGCCACAGGGAGTAAGAAGGTGACAGCGGTTAATGCAGGGCTTCCAGCAGCTCAGACAGGGAGCAGTCTGTGGGAGATAATCCCTTGCTGGTCAGGGCTGGGCAGTGCTTCACCTTGCATTGTCAGGCATTAGAGACGGAAAGACAGCTACTAAATGCTCTTGGATGGCAGAGTTTTTCTAACAGGCACATTTAAGAAGTGCCTCTGGACAGTATCAGGAATATTATATTAACACCAAAGAAAGAAAGATTTTAATACATTGCCCACATTCAGGTATCAATCTTACACCAGCTCCACAACCGCTTTCCTGTTTCCTCATATCCATGGAGCTGTCTGTCCTGATTCCTGCTGGGGATGCAGGTGTGGGGTGACAGTG